CTTTTTAAATCGCAAAAATAGTAGGCTTTGCCAACTAATGATTTTTCATTTTTTTTCATAATTCGGCCTCGGACGGGAGGAGTAAGTTCTACCGACCACCAACCAATCAGCCAGAGAAAGAATTTTTTTAATTTGGCCCAATCAACGCTGAACTTCATATGAAAGATTTTAGCAAAATTGTCTACAATTTCTACTTTGCTAACATTAAAATTCTAATTTGCCATTAAACCTTGGAAAAGCCAAAGTATCCCGAATATTTTCGGTTCCACTAATAAACATTATCAATCTTTCTAAGCCCAGACCAAAACCGCCACTGGGGGCATAACCGTATTTTCGTAAATCAAAATATCAACTTAAATTGTCAACATTTAAACTTTTTTGTTTGGCTTTTTCCTGCAGAGTCTGGTAATTATCCTCACGCAAACTTCCACCAATCAACTCTCCAATTTCCGGAAATAATAAATCAAAACAGGCTGCCGTTTTTTTATCCGGATTATTTTTGACTTCTGACAAGACTCTGTCTTTGACCTCCGGTAAGGTTCCGCCTTTCATGTAAAAAGCCTTTAAATCGGCTGGATAATTAGTAATAAAAACTGGATTATTGTCAAAATAAGCACACAAATATTTTTCGTGTTCGGATTGTAAATCCATTCCTCATTTAATGTCATTAAAAATAAAAAAGCTTTTTTGTTTTTCTTTTAAAATTTCGAGGGTCTTAGTGTAATCAATTCTTTTAAACTTGCTATCAACAATTTTTTTTAATTTATTAATTATTTCTTTTTTGTTTTCCTTATCGTAATTTTCCAAAAATTCTAATTCAGCAATATTATTGTCAAGAACATAATTTATCACATATTTTATCATTTTTTCGGCTAAATTAATTATTGTTTCTAAATCAGCAAAAGTCATTTCGGTTTCTACCATTCAAAATTCGGCTAAATGACGAGTAGTGTGCGATTTTTCAGCCCGAAAGCAAGGCTCAAAAGTATAAACTTTGCCTAATCCTTGAGCCAAGGCTTCAGCATGGAGTTGCCCGCTGACAGTCAAGTTAGCAGGTTGTGAAAAAAAAGGTTCTTTTTTATCAGTAGTAATGATAAAGGTCTCTCCGGCTCCTTCCGCGTCATTGTTAGTAATAATCGGAGTGGGGACATAGTAAAATCCTTCTTGGTGAAAAAAATCATGGATGGCTTTACTGATGCTATGGCGGAGGCGAAAAAGAACCAAAAAGTAGTTGGTTTTAGCCCGTAAATGAGGCGATTCACGCACTACATTCAAAGGGATGTTTTTTTTTTGTAGGGGATAGTCATCGGCAGTAGAATTAATAATTTCCAAATCTGAACCCGAAACCACTAATTCAAAAGGCTGAGAACGCTGGGGAGTAAGCAATAAGCGGCCACTTACCAGTAAACAAGACGAGAAATTTACTTTTCCTAATAAACCGTCGGGGGAACTTTCCCGCTCTGCAATTATTTGTAAATTATCTAAAGTTGATCCGTCATTCAGAGTAATAAAAATTTTTTCTTTTCCCGACCGGACTGATTTTACCCAACCTCCAACTTTAAACTTTTCTAATTTACTAAACTTTTCGACCTGCTGGTAAATATCTTTAATAGTAATTATCATTTAACGTTTTTATATAGTAATTTAAGACTTTTTTGAGAATTTTTTCCCTCTTCCAATTTATTATTAAATAAAAACATATTATTAAGAAAATGGTTCAAAATAATAGCAAATTATCCGGCAAATTAGAACTAAACTGAGTTAATAAAAACAAGACTCTGATTGTTAAAGATTATGACAAAGGCCAATATGAATGCGCAGAACCAGATGATTATCGGGTTTCCGAAGTAAGGTTGTTTAAAGAAGTGGGAAAATTTGGTAAAAATTCCTCTGATAACCTAATAGTTTGTGGTGACAGTTTAAATGCTCTGACAAGCTTAACCAAAATCCCAGAATATCAGCAAAAATATGTCAATAAAGTCAAGTTAATTTACATCCACCCACTTTTAATACCGGCTAAATGTTTGCTAATTATGACTTCAATCGGAACATTTAGTTTAACCCTACCAAAGACGAAATATTTTTTTAGCAAACGATAGTAAAGAAAAACTAACATAATGAACGAAAAAGAAATTATTCAGCAAAAGGAAAACCAAATATTAAGACTCCAAAAAGAAATTGAAAGACAGAAAAAAGCTGTCAAAAAAGAACGATATGGCTTAGTTTGAATTGATGTCCCAGAAGGTTTTGAAAACGACATAGAAAATAAATTACCTATCCTTGAAGAAATTCCTGAAAAATCAATCAATACCAATGATGAAAAACCCACTCATATTCTTATTGAAGGAGATAACTATCATGCTTTAACCTGCCTAAATTATACCCACAAAAACAAAATCAACGTTATTTACATTGATCCGCCTTATAATACTGGTTCAGATGATTTTAGGTACAAAGATAAACGCATTCTAAATAAATATCCAGATGGAAGTGAAGTTCCTAAAGGTCACCCTTTTCGCCATAGTTATTGACTTTCATTTATGCGAAAAAGACTGAAACTTGCTAAAGAATTAATGAAAGATAGCGGAGTTATTTTTATAAGTATCGATATCAATGAACTGGCTCAACTAAAGTTACTTTGTGATGATATTTTTGGAGAAAGTAATTTTGTCAGTTTGATTTCAATTAAAGTTAAAGATACTGCTGGTCTAGGACAATCAAATTTTATTTTTGATGTAGCGGAGTATGTTTTAATGTATGCTAAAAATTACTACGTGTTTAGAGCGGCGCATCAAGAATTGCCCGTGAATTATGAAATCTTAACTGAACAATATGGAAGTTACAATAAAATGGTTATTGATTTTGGCCAGTCAAAATTTATTAAAGAAATATCAAGAGAAAAGTTTGGGTCGATTAAGATTTATCAATGCGAAAATTACAAAGTAGAAAACACAAACAAATTTACTTTCAAAGAATACAAGAAGAATCGAGATAAAATCTTTGCTGATTATAATCCTATATTTGTGGTGTCGTGGGACACAATTAAAGATGAAATACCTTCTGTTGGCTTGTCTTATATCGAATATGTTCCAGCCAGGGGGAGGAACACCGGCAGTATGACCAAACTCTATTTCTTAAATCGTAGAGTAGTTTCTTGGCTCCCCACTGTTACTCGTTACCAAAAAGGAGAACTGTTTAAAAAGACCAGAATGACCAATGTTTGAGACATACCAAATGCTTCTCTCCATGTGGAAGGAGGGGTTTATTTTACTAATGGCAAGAAGCCATTAACACTGCTTCAAAAGTTACTTGGTATGTTCAAGATTAAAAACGCTATAGTTTTAGATTTCTTTGCCGGTTCCGGCACTACTGGTGAGGCAGTTATGATCCAAAACGAAGAAGACAAACTTAACCGTCAATTTATTTTAGTTACTAATAATGACGAGGTGACTAATGGAAAAGTTCAGCAAATAATGACCGATGTTTGTTATCCAAGAATAAAAAATGTTATAAAAGGATATGGAAACAGAAATCCTCTTGGTAATTCAGTAAAATATTATAAAACATCTTTCGTGGGAGAAAATAATATTCTCAACGCTAATGACAAAGATAAGGCACAACTCGCTCATAATGCAGGAGAACTTCTCGCCATTGCCGAGAACACATTAGAACAGATCGAAAAAAATGATTACTGACAAATTTTTGAAAATAAAAATCAGACAACAGCAGTTTATTTCCGAGAAGATCAAGACCGGTTTAGTGATTTTGTTGAAAAAGTTATATCATTCAAAAAACAAGTGGTAGTTTATGTATTTAGTTGGCAAGAAAGGCTCGAAATCATCGAACTTGAAGACAACAAAAATGTAAGTCTAAAAACAATCCCACAACCGATCCTTGAAATATATAAGCAAATATACAATATAATTTAGTATGAAAGCATTTAATCCTCTAAAATTCCAAAGCAACGCTGTAGAAAAATTAAAAGAAATCTTTGTTTCTTTATGAAAAAGACAAGAGGCGCAATCGCCCATCTTGTTCAAATCCCCAACTGGTAGTGGTAAGACTTTTATGGTTTCACTTTTTGTTAGAGAACTCAACTATCTTCCTCAATGAAAAGAAGACAAGGCCTT